TTCTCCCTCCCAGCCAGACCGGAGGCTCAGAGGCCAGCCAAAGATTTACCTGTTCCTTCCTCCCCTGGCTTTGGGGAGGGGGTGTCTTTGAATAGACATGCATGTCCCCCCACCCCACCTCTAAGGAAGACCTGCTGCATCTTGGTATGGTCCAGAGTGCCTGGAAATGCAGGGGGCTCTGCGATGCTGTCTGGGTTCTGCAGAATCTGTCTCCCTCATCGCACTTGGCCCAGACTGATATTAAGATTCATCTGCATTCCCCGTGCACCCGCCTGGCAGATGGTGGGGGAGGAGGCTGGGTGCGTGCTGGGGTTGCAGCCAGGGACCAAGCCAGGCCTGGGAGGCCAAAGAGCAACATGCCCACCCACTGTGCCCCATGAACCCCAGCTGGGCTGAGACAACTCCAAATATGGGGGTACCTCCTCATTCTCACAGCATCCAAGGGCTACTAGGACTTGACCTTTTATTTTTCTAAAGAATAAAAGGACTCTGGAATTCCAGGAAGAAAACCTGAAGATATGGGGGGGGCGATAAAAGATGGGAAGAGATTCCCATCTTTGGGAGTCTCAGATTGGGATCTTGTTCTCCCTCGTTGCCCTGGAATTTTGCAGAGAGCAGAGATAACCAGGAACCCCACTGGGACAGGAGCCCTGCCCAGCCTGGTGACCCTGTGTGTCACAGGGAGGGTAGCAGTGAAGAATGAAGGAGTGGCCTCCGGGAGACCTTGCCTACCGCACTCCCCAGCTTCTCAGGAGGCTTACCTGGGTCTCTAGCCCCAGAATCTAGCCTGGCACTAGCAGCCTTCTCAGTCCAGGGCCATAGCCAAATTCTTCCTGTCACAATGACTGGACTGAGAAGGTCCAGGGAATATTTCAGCCCCTGAGTGAAGTAGGAAACGAATGGACAGGATAACAAAAGGAGTTCAGGATAGACACCTAGAAGAACTTCCCTTAGCACAGAAGCAAGTTTTGCAGAGAGATAGTGGACTTTGAATGATGGGGATGGGTCACAATAAAGGATATGTTATTTTCTAGCTCTTAGAAATTTGAGGACTCCTGAGGTTGGGGGTAGGGCAGCAGATTCTTGATGCCTGCTAAGGGGGAACAGGCATCCTGCCAGAGGGGTGGAAAGAATAGGGCCCCTAGCTCCTGGCCATCACTCTCCCTTCCTCTCTCCAGGAGTTACTCTGCCCTCGCATTCTAGCCCATTCGAGCTGGAGAGCCAGAGTCCAAGGTCCCCGAGCTGTGGGCCGGCAGGGGAGGAGTTAACTCCGGAGGTACCGACTGGGCTCACTGTACCTGCTGCCGCCGCCGCCGCCGCCGGTGGGAGGGACAAGGAAGCAGGAGCCGCCTGGGCGCCTGGAGCGCTCCAGTCTGGCGGGGTACAGCGCTGGGAGCGGGCGGCCGGGCTCAGCGTGGCCCGGGGCGTCCACCAGGGGGCGCGCCGCGTAGGGGCGGGAGGGGCAGTCTGGTCCGGGGAATTAGCACCAAGGTCGGGCGCGCGCACAGGTCCCCAGCACATCTGGAAGAGAGCGGGCGCCTCTGGAACAGAGGGGGACGCAGAGCGCATAACTGGAGCAGCGAGCTACGGCGCAGCTGGGGCCCTTCGAGGCGCTCGGGGCACACATCTGGGACCTCGAGTAGGGGCCGTGCCGAGAGCAGCTGGACCAGGGGAGGGGGGCGGCGGCTGCACAGCTGGACCGAAGGGGGCGGGGTCGGTCCTGGACTACTGGCTGAAAGGAGGGCCGCGAGCCGCCGGGGACTGGAGCATGGGACGGCGCGCCTGAAGGAGCAGGAAGGAAAGGAAGGGGCCTGGGACCCCCGTAGTAACGGAGGAGAGAAAGGGGGACGTGAGCAGAGGTGGAAGATGCAACTGACTCGCTGCTGTTTCGTGTTCCTGGTACAGGGCAGCCTCTATCTGGTGAGTGGTCTGCGGGGAGCTGCGCAGAGGGGCGGGGGCCTGAAGGATCCGGGGAGAGCGCGGGAAGCTTCCCAGCCCTGAAACTTTCTCCCTTCCCTCGATATCCCAGGGATAGAGGGCGAGACCTGAGGCTGGGGGAGAGGGCGGGTCCGAGGCTGGAGACTGGACAGAAAGGGTTAATAGGGGCGGGGAGAGGGTGCTTGGCTGGCCCACCCACTCCGCAGCTGGTGGCGGGAGGTGAGACCAGCGCTAGGGAACAGGCTGAGAGCCGGGTCGCCAAGGGTTACCCGACCCCGTCGCACCTCTTCTCGGCTCCCCAGGACCCCGAAAGAGGATGGGGTGGGTTGTGAGAGCTGACGACCTGCCAGGTCAGGGGGCGTGGGCTTTCCCCCTGATCTCCTGGACCCAGAGAGCCCCGGGCTCTGGGTCCCCAGCTCGCAGAGCCGGTCCAGGAGGGGGACGGCCCCCGCGTCCCTCCTTCCCGCTCCCTCCCGCTCCTCCCTCCCGCCTGTTGTTTTCCTCTCTTCTCCCGGCTGCGCGCAGCCTGAGCCCCACAGGACCTGGGCAGGCGGCTCCCGCCCCGGGCGCTCGCCGCAGCTGAGCGGAGCGCCCAGAGCCCTCTCCCAGTGCGCTGGCTCAGGGCTTTACAGAGGCCCAGGACGCCTAGCGACCCCACCCCTGACCCCAGCCCAGAGCTTGTTTCCCTCCAACCGCCAGCCGGCCCTCGCCCCAATCCTGCGGTGGAGAAGCCTCAGCCCCACATCTGGATCTGCCCCTTCCCTCATATCCACAATCCCCCTGCTACCACCCTCATTCCACTGCTGGAAGAACCCTTCCTTTCTCATGGCCACACCTGTGGCCCTGTTCCCTATCCATGGCCACACAGCAGTGACCCTCCAGCACCAAGTACACACAGGTCTGCAGCCCAGAACCTAGCCTCCAGGGGCCTCCCCTCTCAACAGTCCCTCTACCCAACACCTGGGGCCTGGAAGGCAGGGCCAGCCTTGACTGTGAGGCAGAGATGGGCTTGGTCTCAGCACACAGCTGCAGGCACTGCTGAGAACAGGGGGCATGAGGATCTCAAACTCCCGTGGAGCCCCCACCCCCAGCCCAGGGCCACCGCTAAATCCACATGCTGCCCAGATGAGGTGGAAGACTTGTAAACTCCCCAGTGCCCCCTAGTCCTGTCCCCCTCTGCACAGCTCCTCCAAGAAGCCTCCCCCCAGGTGTGGCCTGTCACCATAGCTAATCCAGCAGAGGCAGGATGACCCTTGGCAGATTCTCAGTAGGGATGGGGCCTGGATAAAACCCTTCAAAAAATGCACATCTGGTCTGTGAGGTTGGGAGCCATGGGGTATTAATGGGAGGGCTGACCCTATGTGACCTTAGCCTTATAGTCCTGTAACTCAGAGCCCTGGTGTCCTTATCTGTGAAATGGGAATAAGAACTCCTACCTCATAATGCAAGTAATGTCTTGGCATGTCATCATCAGTGTTCTCCAGAGATGTGTTTCCTTTTCCATACCCTTGACCACTGTGGGTGCGCCATTCACTCCATGTCTCTCCTAGTCCTATGGCCAAAACCTAAACTGAATTTGTACTTGAGAATTTCATTGGGTTCTGTTTTCTTATTTCATTGTCTGTTGGTTTTTTTGCATGTAAGGGAGGAAATGCTCCTAGGGTAAGGATGATGTCTCACTTAATGGACTAGGAAGTCCCCAAAGTGGAGAGCTGGCCTCTCCTGTCAAACCAGAGATTCTCCCAGGATAGGAACCAAGCTCTCCTATCTGACTCCAGGCTCTTTGAAGGCAGAGATTATGCCTCTCCATCAGCCTGGGAATTTCACAGAGCCGGGGACTCCACCTCCCCTATGGGAAGGGGGCTTTATCAATACAGGGGTAATGCTTCTACCATCAGATGGGGGCTCTCCCAAGATCAGGAGCTAGGCTTCCCCCATAGATTCAGGACTCCATAAGGGGTGTTGTCCCTGATACCATAGTCCACTGGAGCGAATTCTTGACTACCCTCAGACTTTAAACGGTGGCCAAAGATAGGACAGTGAGGAGAGGACATGGGGCTGACCCTAATGTCAGAACATGAGATGGGACCACGACACAAGCTAGGATGTACATATGACTCCCAGCATAAGGGGCCAACATTCAGGGGCCGTCAGTCCGAAGTCAAAGTGGAAGAGACAGAGCTGGTGCTGGTGGTGGGGGTGGGGACCAGAACTCCTGGGTTCTTTGGGGACAGGGCTCTCACTTTCCCCCCAACTCCTTCTGTAGGTCATCTGTGGCCAGGATGATGGTCCCCCCGGCTCAGAAGATCCTGAGCGTGATGATCATGAGGGCCAGCACCGGCCTCGGGTGCCTCGGAAGCGGGGCCACATCTCACCTAAGTCCCGCCCAATGGCCAATTCCACTCTCCTAGGGCTGCTGGCTCCACCTGGGGAGGCTTGGGGGGTCCTTGGGCAGCCCCCCAACCGCCCTAACCATAGCCCCTCACCCTCAGCCAAGGTGAAGAAAATCTTTGGCTGGGGCGACTTCTACTCCAACATCAAGACAGTAGCCCTGAACCTGCTTGTCACAGGGAAGATTGTGGACCATGGCAATGGGACCTTCAGCGTCCACTTCCGACACAATGCCACAGGCCAGGGCAACATCTCCATCAGCCTCGTGCCCCCCGGTAAAGCTGTAGAGTTCCACCAGGAACAGCAGATCTTCATTGAAGCCAAGGCCTCCAAAATCTTCAACTGCCGGATGGAGTGGGAGAAGGTAGAACGGGGCCGCCGGACCTCGCTCTGCACCCATGACCCAGCCAAAGTCTGCTCCCGAGATCATGCTCAGAGCTCAGCTACCTGGAGCTGCTCCCAGCCCTTCAAAGTTGTCTGTGTCTACATCGCCTTCTATAGCATAGACTATCGGCTGGTCCAGAAGGTGTGCCCAGATTACAACTACCATAGCGATACCCCCTACTACCCCTCTGGGTGACCCTGGGCAGGCCGTGGAGGACAGGCCAGGGCTGGAAGGACAGGCCTGCCCATGCAGGAAGCCATCTGTCTGAACACTGGGCAGGAAAGGGGGTGGAGAGGAGGAGATGCCAAGTGGGGCCAGGACCAAGTCTCAAGTGGCAAGGAGAGAGTCCCAAGTTCTGGCCCCAACCTGAGGCAGTGGAACGATGGGAACACAGGTGCTGGAGGAGGAGTGGGGTCTCTGTGCAGCCACAGGGATTTACCATTGAGCCACAGGCAGATGCTGGGTCCCCCAGGCCCCTGGGCAGGCAGACCTATATGGACCCAGATCAGGTCATGGAAGGACCCTACATGCTTGGCTCCTGCCATCCTAAGAGAGGACATCAATAGGCTATGGGGGCATTTCATAGTGTGAACATCCTGTCACCTTAGGATGGCTGGCTGAGACAGGACTTCCTGGGAGCTCTCTAGCCCAGCCAAGTGGGCAGTCCTGGGCCCCTTGCCCTGCACTGAGCATGGCATGAGTGGTGACCCTTGCAGTCTTTGCTGTCTTGGCAAATAGACCATGCATCTCCAGCTAGTCCACCCCTTTCCAAAATTCCCTCTCCTGGCAGCATTCCCCACTGCACCCGCCCTCTTGCTGATGGCAAGTATAGTGGGGTCCTCAGGTGGAAACCCACTTGCGTGCTGTGTGTTCCTCTACCAGCCCACCACCCTGCTGGCTCCTCTGGAAGCCTCCTTGTGCCAGAGAGTGGTCCCTCAATAGTCAGCCTTACCTGTCAGACTAGGGCTGTCTTGGAGAGGGAAGGTGCCTCTCTCTCTCAACCCTGGGGCCAGCAGCAGAGAGGTGGTAGGCCAAGCTGGACTGTGTGCGGGTTCTGTTCCGTGTGTCTGTCTGTGGGTGGGGGGAGGGATGGGAAGTCTTGTGAAATCACCTGATTGCTGACTTCTGTGTGCAGAATCTTGTTCTTGGAGCAGGAAATAAAGCTTGCCCCTGGGTACCAGAGTCTGCCTTTTCAAGGAAAGAGTCCAGCTAGCATTCCTTGGATGGTTGTAGAGCCCAGAGCAGCTGGACTCCTCTGCAGCCCTGTCCCCAGGCTTCCTATACAGCACCAGGGCTTGGTGCTGTAGATGGGGGGGGCGGGGTGGCATCTGTCAGAGCAGCTCTGGGAGGAAGAGCTAGTGAGTGGGACAGGCCAGATGAGGGTGTCTCTCAATGCCTAGTGGAGTCCTAGCTCTGTCTGATTTTCCTGTGTGGCCTTGGCCATGTCTCCTTTCTGCCTTTCTGTCAGTTTCTTCCTCTGTAACCAGTGGTTCTCACATGTGAGTGAGCATCTGAACCTAGAGGGTTTGTTAATACAGATTTCTGGGTCCTCATTCAGTAGGTCTGGGTGGGGGTCAAGAATATGAATTTCTAATGAGCCAACACATCTATGCTGGTACTGCTGGTGCAGGGCCCACACTTTGTGAACCGTTCAAATGACCTCTAAGTTCCTTTCTGGCTCTGGCTCTGAGATACTTCTGATGCCCTCCCATGGGGAGCCTCCTTTCAGAGAATCAGAGTATTGGGTTTTTAATGTGAAAACAAACTAGTGAAAGGAACAGGCTTTCACTTCCCTTCCCCCAGGTGGTAGGACAGCCTCAGAATGGATGGCTGCCTGGCCACCTTGCTTGGGAGTTAGTTGGACCCTTTGGGCCTCAGTGAAGGAAGGGAGAAATGCTGTACCAAGGTCACAGTGCCCTCTCTGGAGGTCATTCTAAATCTGCTCTCTTGGACAGTGACAAGGTCCTGGTGGGAGGTTAAGATGGTCTCACTCCTCTTGGCCTTTCACTCCTGCCCACCAGTGATCTGCAGGGACAGTCCCCTCACACAGTGCAGTGGAGAGCTAGGCAGGTTAGAAGCCACCTTTTTGCAGCCCTGCCCTTTAAGAAGTGATCCAGAAAGGGCAGGTGGCTTGAGCTCATGCTTATCCCAAGCTTCTTTCCCTGCACCTTATTTCCTGGGGTAGGTCCCCTGAGCACAAACTCGAGACACACCCATCCTCTCACCCTGGCCATGGTGCTTGAGTCCAGAGAGGCCCAGAGATGTAGGCCCTGCCATGGAGGCCTGGAGCTGTCGGAATCTGGAGTGTTCTCCCACCTGTGGACGCCCACCAGACGTATCCAGGAGCACCTCCCACAGCACTGTGGGGACTATAGTGAGGGAGGAGGGAACAGTGGGGCTGGTGGCCTTGGGTGCCCTCCCTTACCTGGCCTGGCTGAACTCTCAGCAGGACCTGGGGGCACTCTGACCCTCCTGCTCCTGTCCTGTGGAGAGCCAGATGCTGCTGACAGCTGGAGGGCCCAGGCTGCCTGGCACATAGTTCTGCCTGCACAGGGGGTGGATTCATTTTAATAACTTTATTTCTTTTT